AATGTTTACTTTTCCATAAAATATCACTGAAATAATGAATATTAATGTTTAAATAACGTTAAAAACATTCACGATCGAAGATTCAAAGAGGAAATCTTCTTGTCCGAGTAATTTCAATAAAAAAAATTCACCTTTCGTCGAATGTTTATTTTTAAACAAAAAATATCACAGAAATAATGAATATTAATGTTTAAAAAACACTCAAAAAATATTCACGTTCGAGGATTCGAAGAGAAAATCTTATCCGAGAAATTTCATTAAAAAAAAGCTCAATCTTTCGTCGAATGTTTATTTTTAAACAAAATATCACAGATATAACGAATATTAATGTTTAAACAATACGAAAAGAAAATCTTGTCCGGGTAATTTCGATAAAAGTCACCGGTTCGAAGTTGGCATGGATATCGTTCTTGCACGAAACACGTTAAAGCTACTTTTCACACGGCAATCCCTTTTACTCGACTTATGTATCGCATTATCGTGGTACTAGAAAAGCTTGATTAAACGGTAAACGTTTAAACGTATTTACCTCGATGGCTGATGATGGCAGCGAGCTGGCAGGAACATTAAAGGACATCGCCTCGTTCCAAACGGGACTGGTCGTCGCTTTTCTCACAGCAGTTTTCTTCTTCTTCACCCTCTTCTCTCCACAAAGGAGATTTACTTTCACGAACGAATCTAAGGTTTCTTTCTCCTGCGGCATCAAACCACCACGTGGAGTATTAAAACGTGTCACCCGACGTTCTTTATCGCGTAAAAAAGAATCACGGAGACGACGGGAAAATATAGATTTTTTTCCCAGTTGAAAAAAAATTAACGAAAGCAACGCGACGGGAGAGATATTGTTGATCAGCGGTTTTGTCACTTTCTTGTTATCGCGAAAATCGTTCGAAGAAAATTAGAACAATTATCGAGCAATGATTGCAGGAGGAAAATACACTATCACTCGTCAGTATTTACCCAGCTACTTGTTCATAATGCTTCTTATTTCACGAAGAAATTTCATTTAAAATGTTTTCAAGGAAGAAGTCAAGGATTCAACTTGTTTTGCAACTCATACTTTGTAAAAATACATTCGTTTTTATTAAATATTCTAATTTTATCTTATTTTTTTTTATTAACACTAGGTTTACGGACATTTCTTATACTAGGCCGAAAGTCGTGAAATAGTGCGATTTTCACAATCTTTAACCGTTTGTAGCTCATAGCAACATTAACCGATTTCGATGAAATTTTCGGCGTGTGTATAATTGACATAGATCTACAAAACGTATTTTTTAAATTTCCATTACGAGATTAGATAAAAAATTTGTAAAAACGACCTTCGCTATTTTCTTCGCGATTCCGACTAATTGCATTTTTTTCAAAAATTATTTTACACGTCATCTATTAAACTAATCTTTCTAACTTCACAAAAAAAAAAACTCAAGTCGTTTGGCCCAATTTTAAGAAAGTTATTCCATTTTATAGAGTGTACGAATACTTTTGTCCTCCACTGTATGTATTGTTATACAAACGTCGGAATGACGGCAAAACACCATTTCTCTAAGCCTTATAAAAATAGCGGTGCAAAGTGAAATATTTTTGACAGCGATCGATAACCGAGAAGTCACGCGTACGCTTGTTCACGATCGCGCGCGGATCAGTCCCTGCGCTCCCGTGCCTGGGCGCGGGCTCTACGCGCGCTCTGATTGGCCAGTGTTTTTCGTTGATAATTCAAAAACGAAGCTTCAAACAACATTTTGGTAAAGGAAAAAGTTGTCCAGAGTCACCCCAGCAACCCCCCATTTCCGGATGTTGGAAGAGTTACGGGACACCTGCATACCTATCTCTACGGATACGCGTGAACAAAACCGCAGATTTTCTTTAAAAAACAACTTATTTCATTTAAAAACAACATATTACACACTGTTAACTCATAAATGAAACTATGTGATATTATATATTTATATAAAATTTATAATAAGCATAAACGGTAGGAGAGAAATGTAAACGGTTTCTATAGTTGCCTTGTGAAATTTGAAATGCGTGAAAATGACGCGTCCCGTAAACCTAGTGTTAAATATTCTAATTTTATGTTATTTTCTTATTAAATATTGCAATTTTATCTTATATTTTTAATCAAATGTTCCAATTTTACATTTTCTTTTTCTATATTATAATAATATTTTTTTATTTCTAATTTTAAATTTGAATTTGAGCAATTCTTTCGAAAAGTATGTCACATTTGCGAGCGAAGAGAAAAAGAGATGTAGGGGCAGATACTTGCGAGCGTTGCTGTATCTAATTGAAATTTCACGAAATTGACGTGTCGGTAAAGTTGTAGGAGAGGAGGAAAATGTATAAGCAAAGAAGTTACCTGCGGTGGGAAGAGGTTCCTCGCCTTTAGAATCAAGACCGTTAATCGTTCAGCACTAGGTAGATAAGACAGCGACAGTAGAACTTCTTGAATTTGTTCCGGTGGCTTTCGCTCCCGTTCAATCTCTCCCCAAACTTCCTCGGTCGACGTAGAGGAGTCTAATCGCAAAATGTGTAGCGGTACTTTCACAGAACCTACTACGTCGTTCGTAGAGAAACGATCGTAATCGAGCACCTGTTAAACAAACGGAAAATTCTGTCTGAGAAAAATTAATTTTGTTAATATTTCGTTGAGAATGTTTACTAAACTGTGAGTAAAATATTAGAAGAATTCTATTGCAATGATTGTTGTATATTAAAAAAATTATATTGCAATAATTCTTTATGGAAAATTATATTGAAAGAATTATACTGCATTAAGTTTTAATAAAAATTAGATTTAAAAAAATTAAATTACAATAATTCTTTATGAAAAATTATACTTAACTTGTAAATTCTATTTAAAATTTCATTTCGAACGGAAGTTTGTCCATCGCAAGCAGACAGTCACGTGAATATATGTAGGGGGAGTTCCCCTAGCGCCGGAGGCTTAAGGTTTTCCTTAAATAAATCTCTCTGCCTGTGCACACGCGACTGAAACGCGTAGAAAACTTATTTTTATTCCTTTTGTCTCCTCTTGGAGATACGCAGAATAACGGCTCGGTTGCGTTTCAATTATTGCAGATAGAGCTAATGTCCGATATTAGGTGCCGTTCGGCGTTAAGGGAACTCCCCCTATAAGCATGAGAAAATTAACGAAATTGTATTAAAAGGATTATATTACAATAATTCTCTATAAAAAATTAGACTGCACTAAAAAAATCATTTTTAAAGCTATGCTTCGAAATTCACTTGAGAAATTTATCTATGATAAAGAGACAATCACGCGAATATATCGCTAATTGGCATTGATAGTGGCATAAATCAAAAAATGTCAATTTTGATATTTTTGCACAGATAGATTCCATAAATACAGTATTTTTATCTTCTAAAACGGTACATTTCTAACTCCGTTAATTTCATACCAGAGAGCAAATCAGATTATACTGAATTTTAGACAAAACTTAGAATTTTAAACTACTTTTTCCGTAAAAATTACATTCTTCGAGTTATGTCACTGTCAACGTCAACCAGGGACACCTACAAAAGTGAGAAAATTAACGATAGAATAACAGCGTTAATGTTAATTGCCTGTAAAACTAAGGTCTTGTCCTGAAGTTCGTCGTTGCTGACAGGGAATTTGAATTGTTGATCGAAGAATGGATCCGATTCGTTATGATGTATCGGAGTCTGACGTTTCCTCGAATCCACTTCAGGGCTGAGCGTCAGCTTCACGTAAGGATCGTGGAATCCGCCTTGATCACTTCCAGCGAGATCGCGTGCCTCGATCAGGTGCACATGCAAATCCGATCGATCGAAGTCGTATTTGAATCGCAAATGCATCCGACCTAAACTCTTTCCATTTCTAAAAAACACAGTCGACAGAGGAACACGCGTTATTCCAACCTCTGTTCGTAGTTTCTTCGATAGTTTCTCAAAGTTACAATCACTTCTTGTTTGAAATAATGGAGTAAAAAAGGTTGACAATTGATATATCTCAAGTTATTATTCTGTGACAATTGTAATACATTTTGAATAATTTTCGGATTTGTGTTAACTAATTGTAAGTGAATTTGCTTGTCGATCACAAGATTTAGGAAAATGAGTGATTTATGGTACGTTGGTAGAATACAAATACAATATTAATAATTAAAATTTTATTTTTTAAGTTAATTGAAAATCATTCATTTTAA